TGTTGTTCCAGGTCAAGAAGGGAAAGTATGTAGACTCAAGAGATCTCTATATAGCTTGAAACAAGCTCCTAAGTAGTGGTATGAAAAATTTCATAAAACTTTATTAGATCTGGGTTATTCTACTAACCGGTCAGATGCCTACTTATACACTAAAGAGATAGAGTCTAGCATTGTGATTATCTGTCTCAATGTAGATGATATGTTAAATTTTAGCTCTAATATTAAGGCTATAAATGAGACTAAAAGAACTCTATGTGACAACTTTGACATGAAGGATCTAGGGGAAGTTGATGTAATACTTGGGATAAAAGTTACAAAAACTGAGAGAAGTTATCTTTTATCTCAAAGCCATTATACGGAGAAGCTTCTAAAGAAGTTTGCGAGTTATGATGTAACTCCGGCCAAGACTCCTTTTGATCCTAGTGTCAAATTGTCAAAGAACGTAGAGGCTAGTGTGTCATAATAGGAGTATGCGAAGATAATCGGAAGTCTAATGTTCCTTATGAACTACACTAGACTTGATATTGCATACGCAGTAAACAAGCTCAGTCGCTACACACACAACCCTAGTGCTCCACATTAGGATACACTAAAAAGAGTACTTCGATATCTTAGAGGCACAGTAAACTGGGGTCTTGATTATAAAGGATCCCAAGCCGTGCTAGAAGGGTATTGTGATGTGAATTTGGTAAACGGCAGCGATGATGTAAGCTCAACTAGTGGATACGTATTCACTATGTGTGGAGCTACTATATCATGGAAGTCAACCAAACAATCATGCATTGCCAGATCAACTATAGAAGCTGAGTTTATAGCTCTAGATCTGGCAAGCCAAGAAGCCGAATGGCTAAGAAACCTATTGGCAGACGTGCCATTGTGGGGGTGTCCAGCACCTGCTGTTCCTGTACATTGTGATTCACAAAATGCCATCTGCGTTGCGCAAAATAGTGTCTATAATGGCAAAAGAAGACACATAAGATTCAGATATGAGTCTGTGCAACAGTTGATACTAAATGGGGTGATCACAATGGAATTTGTGAGATCTGAAAAGAATATTGCAGATCTGTTCACAAAAGGTCTAAATCGGAAGGCCATCCTTGATACTTCAAGGGAGATGGGTTTGAAACTCAATGATGTAAGAAATTCGTGATGGATACCACCTCTGTGGTCAAACGAAGTCACGGAAAGACTTATATTAAAGGACTGTAGAGAACAGTGCCTACTCTGTAGCCTGCTATGGGTGGTCTATATTGAGATAGACTTGACAGAGTGAAATGTCTATGTTGAGATAGACTAAAATAGGGATTCTTTAGAGTTAATGAGCGCATTTAAGTTCAAAACTCGACTAACCGATGAGTTCACGATCCAATTCACTCTCGGGTAACAAGTTACTTAATGCTACTACATGTCAGTTCATGTATCATACACTGATATGGAAATTAGCTCTTATGTTTGCTCAGGCGCTATCAGGTATAGCCTTGCCACCTTAAATGTGTGGGGGATTGTTGGGAACATTTAAGAGGCATCCATTAAGTTTGTCTCTATCTAGTTGTCCCACATTGCTTGGCTAACCCATATATCTTTTCTAACCTTTTATACTCCAACCCTTTTTAGAAGGCTTGAAGTGTTATGGAGAGGGAATAAGGGGAAACCTCGTGTGCGTCGTCGCCGCCCGCTCCGCTCGGCTTGTGGATCATTTGACCACCTTGTCCGCACTACATGAACCTTTGCTCTCCATCTTTTTGTGGCACTTCTCCATGGCTGGTAAGGAATGGTCCCATTTGCTCTCCATCATTCCCATTTGCTCTCCATCTTTGTCGCACTTCTCCATGGCTGGTAAGGAATGATCCCATTTGCTCTCCATCTTTGTCGCACTTCTCCATGGCTGGTAAGGAATGGGCGGTTATAGTATATAATCCACCCTTCCCACTTCACTTGAACACACGAATTCTCCATTCTTTGTCTGAGTTCATATAGACAGGTTTTGTCCTGTTAATATGTGAGTCCTGTCGGGAGCATGCGACACCCTTGTCGTAAATGCTTCTAAGGTAGTGTTTACGAACACGACACTGATATTATCTTCTAATCTTGCTACTCACAATCCAGTCATATCAAAACAGTAGCCCTACACCCTACGACATTGTTGTTTTCTCAGTTCAAGTTTCTCCTTTTCATACGAAAGCGCAACAAAAAAAAAAAAAAAAAGCATTATAATCATATATAGGATTCCACTCTCCCATGGGTCAAAAAGTACTGATTCTTTAGCCATTCATTCAGGGTCCAAATTCCTCAAGCAAATGTTCATACCAGCTAATGATGATAATGTGATTAGTATTGGCAAAATTTTGGATTTTGCATAAAATTTTGGTGAGATTTTAAAGCTTAAATTCTTTTTAAAATTTTAAGTTTTACATATCAAGACTTTTGTCAATTAGAAAAGTCTTAAGGTAGACTCATGTTACCAGGACTATGTGGTCTAATGGTATCTGGGTTGGACTTTCATTTGGAAGATTGTAAGTTTGAGCCTCAGTAGAGGCGTTATTAGTTTTTTGTGTTTCAGTAGGTTGAGAAAGTATATGAACAGATACTACAATGTAATAGAGCTAGTAGCATTCAAAAAAGGTAGGCTCATGTCGTAAAGATTTATATTTAGGGGAAAAAAAAAAGAAACAAAAATAGAAAAATAAAGGTCGTGTACCTGTTTGGCTGTTTGTTATGTCACAATATTTCTAAACTTTTATTTTTGAAAAAGTTTGTCTTGTGATCTTAACTTGGAAAGGTTCACAATAATTATGTAAATCAGTCTAAAATGTTCATAATTAACCAACTCAAACTAAGAAGATTGTTAGATAGTTCTTACGAGAAATTGAACTTTGAACCTTTAGTTATCAAATTAGTTGTCTGACCAATTTGGTTGGGGTTGCTCCAATATTTTCAAAATAAAATATAAAAAAAAATATTAAAATTTTCAATTTTCTTTTTGAAGTTGGAAAACATCTAATCTTGTTCTTAAAATGGGAAATGATGGATGATTCGTGGGAAATGTAATGGACATATGGTGGTCAGAAATTTTATACAAATAAAGAATTGCCCTAACACAAATTGCTTTTAACGTCAAATTCTTTTGTCAAAAAAAAAAAAAAAAAAAACAAACTTAACTTCGATTCTTCCTTCGGTGATGAGAGGGACCTCAGCTTCCACATTGCTGTTGATTCCACCTGTACTCTTGTTATTCCCTTTTTCTGTCTGCCATTTTTTCCAATACTTTTGATCACGTCAATTTTTTTCTTCTTCTTATTTTTCAAAATTTCATATCAATTGATGAACTAAATTGAAAAAGTATATAACAAATATTACCTTGTAAATACTTTTAATAGTACTCACAAAATATATTAGTCAAATCAATTCTCACTGTTTACAAAAGCATATTCTCACAATCAAAACTTGCCATTGAGCCATCATGTGATCCACTTGAACTTGTAGCTCATTTAGTTGAGATGACAATTGTTGGGTTCGTGGACTTCATCTCAAATGTTGGATCAAGTGGTTGGCATTCTTGTTGAAATTCTTGGTACGAAAGCTCTTGAAGTTGCCCTTGATATTGGTGATTGAGATCACAGATGAAACAATTTTCCGCCTCATGAGGTCCTCCACATAAGATACACCATAAGGGTTGTGGAGTACGTCGGTGGCGTGCCTTCTTGATAAGTAGCTTGACTCATGTTAGCACAAAATCCTTGAATAGGTTGTTGAGGAACATGATTGGTGGAGTTGAATATGTAGCAATTCTCAACAAAGTGATTCCCACTACAAAAGGAGCACCATTGGGGTTGTGATATGAATGCTTGAGATGAGCTCTCTTGAATATATTTTTGACTTGAGTTGACAAAATTTGAGAAAGGTACTTGTTGTTCCACTCCTCCATAGTCTTGGTTCATATTCCAACTCATCTCATAACCATGGGAAGGAAAGTAGAACGGTGGCACGGTTTCTTGAAATTCATATCCATCCATAAACAAAAGAAAATTGTTAATAAAGATAAAAACAAATTAAAAAATGATGGATTAGACTAATAGAATAAAACTTTCACTAATGTCAATACTTAAACGCCACTTCCTCGGCAACAGCACCAATTTGGTTGTAGCATAAGGGGTAATTAATTTGCTACAAACATGTAAACAAAAGGAGTAAAATAAGGCAAGCGAATTTGAGGAATTCAAGAGAATAAAAAGCGGGATGTCTGGGGGTTAAAGTGTTTAATCACCTATTGCCAACTTAAAGTGAAACAATTAAGTGGGTTAAATCGAGTGTGGAAGATTGCATTTAAATAGGAAAGAATTACTCCCATAATTTCAACCCGCAACAAGACAATTGAAACATACTCACTCACATGAGATAGTCACAATAACCATTCAAGAACAAGCAATCTAGATAATCCCTTAACAAATATGTCATCTCCCAATGTGCAATAGTTAAGTGCAACTATGGGTGCCTTACACTGTTAGAATTCAGCGATTTTCCGACCACCGAAAAGTGGTCGGAAATCGCCAAAAATGGTCGAAAACCAGTGTTCCGACTAACTTTCCGACCAAAAGTGGGATTCGGAAAAACACTTGTCGGTACTTCCGACCACTCGATGCAGTGGTCGGAAATACCGTCCACAAATATAGTGGCGTCGGAAAAGTTCGTCGCTTGAAAAAGTTGGACTGCCCAGGTTTTCCGACCACCGATGGTGGTCGGAAAAATTAATGCAAAGAACAGCTAACATTTCCGACCACTAAAAGTGGTCGGAAATGTACCCAAATAAAAAAATAATAATAATTATTTCACATTCTCTGTAGTGAAATATATAATATAGTTGCTAAGATATATGCTGAAAAACATAAAATACACACTTCATATGCTTGAAGAGAATTCGTTCATCAATATACAATCAAATCTGGCATTCCTAGTCTCTTAATAATTGCTAAATGTATAAACAGGAAAGTGTACATAATTTGAAAGTACATCTAAACTCCCTTACTTAGTTGCTGATAGTACCTAACTTATTTCTCACAGTGACCAACTTCCCCACCTTTAGTTGCCACACAGCTGGAGTATACAAATGAAAAACCAAGTCAGACCTAGCATTGTAAACATGTCGCTTGCTGCAGAATAAAGACTATACTCACGTTTACATCACAAGTTCCTATTTGAAAAATTTTCATCACCTAAACAGGTGTAATTGTTGAAATGTTCATAGTTCAGATGAAGCTAACAACGGTGTATTAATATAGGGGGGAAAAGTATCCTAGGAGCATATGCAAGCTGTACAAAATAAAAAGCAATACACCAAAATAAAGCAATGGAGATGAGCATACCTGACTCTATTATTGTGGTCTGGATATTGGTCGATCACTGGATTGCCTTCCACATATCCTAAATCATGTTTAAATACATCTCAAAAATCATAAGCACATTAACTAACGTAACAATAATAGGATCAAACGTGAGAAAGAGAGTTGAGACTAAATGCCTTGGCTTCACGTGTAATTGAAATATGCATCCCTACACAGCCACAAATTGCCAATGTCATAGTCCATTACATGCATCAACATTTTTTTTAAAGATGCTGCCTATTGAGAGATTTAAAGATCTTTTTGTTCATAACCTTTACTTTTTATTACAAGGGGAGTTTACTAATAATGATCTTCCTTTAGCCCTTACCTAGATAGACTCAATAGACGTAATGTGCACACACACCAATTAGGGGTATTAGTGTATTACAATTTGCAGGAAATTTATAAAATAAATAAAAAGAAGAAACATACCACCACAGAGTTCTGCAGATATTGATAACCATTCATCATATCCTAGATTAGTAAGGAGATATTCTAAACCCGAACAAGATCAAGATAAACCTGTAGTTCCAACCAGATCAGAGACAAGAGATTAAGAACAAAATAGAAGAATAATTCTAAAGGAATTTCTTACATAACCCAAGGCTTGATCCCACCTGAAGCAAGAACTTAAAGTAAGTAAATTAAAACCATGGTTGATCTTTACTTGGACAACACAAAAAATTTAAAATATTCAGCCAACTTGTGGGTAGAAACTACTAGACATATAAGGTTAACTTCAGAAATTTCTCAAGCTATGGAAACTTATAAAATCCTATTGCTACACATTTAACCAGATACAGTATTCATTAGCAATTTCCCTACATGAACTTTATCCAACAATTTCAGTTAAAGTTGCGAGATGAGAAGGTCAATACATGTGTGATTATCACCTTAAAAAGCTATCAAACTGAATCCTTTGACCTGGATTATCAATCATCATATCAAATGACAATAACAGGGTGTTTGGTTGGAGGGATTTTAAATTCCCTTCCCACTTAATTCCCACCTAATTCCAAAGGCCATTAAATTCCGTAGTTTGGTTGGAGGGAATTGCAATTCCATGGAATTGCAATTCCCCCATTTTCATGGAATTAAAATCCCATGTCTCCCCTGGTATTTTAATTTCTGGGAAAAAAAGATAGTGATGAGTCAAAATTACCCTTTCCTTTTTTAGACTAAAATTAATGTCTAACAACAATAATGGACATTTTTGACTTTATACTACTTATTCCCTTTCAATTCCCATGTATACCAAACATTGGAATTGAAATTCCCAGTAATTCTATTCCTGTCAACCAAACACTGGAATTTAAATTCCCACTTTATTCCCAGTAATTCAACTCCCATGGAATTACAATTCCTTTCCCACATAATTCCCCCCTCCAACGAAACACCCTGTAAAAGTATTAAACAGAACAAGGATCAAAAAGGAATTCTGAATTTAAGGAGGCGAATTTTGGGGATAAAACCGAGAATGGCGCCATTTTTTTTTGACTAAATTTGGCACAATATTTTTTAAACATTAATTAAAATCACCTCAAACACTAATTAAAAATTTAAAATAAATATTAAAATCATTCAAGTTTCAAATCTAAGTTTAAAAATTACCATCATCATTGTCAGATTCCTTATTATCATCTACATCATCAATATCTCCACTATCATCTTCTACAGAATCATCAGTCCTCTTTTTCAATTTCTTCAATATCATTTTTTTCTGAATCTTCAATTTGAACACCTTGGTCAGACCATTTGTTTCCGCTTTGAGGTAATTCCACTTCATTCAATAAATTATGGGTAATATAGTATGAACTTTTGGTAAGTTATAATGATGAATGTTTGTATGTGATAAAAATAATACATAATACAGTATACGATAATATACAATCCATTACGTCGGTTTGATATAAACAAAGTGTTGTGCCGTTGAAAGGGCAGTCATGGCCACCGATGTAGGAGACACCGTAGCAGCGTTAGATATGGTTCGCTCATAAGAAACAATGGCAAAGCCATCAGGAATGGATGTCATGAGAAAACATAGATTAATAATACCATATGAATGATTGTATTTTTTGATAAAAATAATACGTAGTACAATACACGATGATATACAATACATTATATAAGATGATGAAACTTAACAAAACTAGGATTGTAGAGTCCTAACAAGAATAAACGATTTAAAGAGTTGAAGTAAGAAAATGATTTCATGTATCTACATGAAAAGGGCACGGTCTTATTTTTCATAGCAAGAATGGTGAGATGGTATCTATTAGTAAACTCTCTGCGTCATGGTCAGTTGATATAGAAAAAAAAAATATAAGTGAAATAATCAATGATAAATAGATAAATCATGTAGTATACTAGTATTCATACCATTGAACCACAACAACACCACAACTACAACTACAGAATAAATAAATATTTCCGAAACAAGATTAGTTTACAAAAATTAAATTGCCAAAAAATATTTCTGACCATCCTCTAAAGGTGGTCGGAATTACCGACCACTTAGTGAATGTGGTCGGAAACTCCGACCACTTTAACCATCCGTCGCAAAAATGAAAAAAATTACTTTTTCCAACCAATTTTTTGGGTGGTCGGAAAAGAGGTCGGAAAAACGGTAATTTCCAGCCGTGTTAATTTATATCCTTAACTCCCATCAAGACACAAATATAACAATGAAATAAGTAATTTAGGTCTTTAATTACAAATATCAACAACATAGAACACAATTACAAAATAAGATATAAAATCCAAATATATATTTCATTAAGGAAATTAAGAATAAGGCATATAGGTCCATAAACACTTTTATACCCAAAAATTCCAAAGAAAAGCTTAGCCAACCATAGCTAGCATAGTCTCAACAACAATAATATCAAGGAGGATACAAATAAACTTAAAGTAAAGAAGAGAGGAAGAGATCAGATTCTCCCAAATATGTCTTCCAAACTTCTTTCTTTCAACTTGTTGGTAGCTTTTGATCCTCCCATATTCCTTTCAAAGCTTTTGCAATGGTTCTTCTTCTTCCAAAGTGTGGAGATCCTTCCTTTTTCCTTTGGAATGTGAAAAATCACCTCTCTTCGCTCCATTTGTCTTCACAAAACTTTTCTTAATTTGTGCCTTAGTGGATTTGGAGGAACCATTTTATTCCAGACATGTTTTAGTGCTAAAAAACAGCAAAAATTAACCAATGATAAATCTTAATATTATCAATTAAAATATTAAACATCTTTTTTTTTTTTTTTTTTTTTTTTTTTTTTTTTTTTTTTTTTAACTACAAGTTTGCTCTGTAATGTATAATATATTAATTAAGTGAATTTCTGCAGTGCAAGTTTAACTAGGCTTGCTAAGAGTTTTGGTCAGACTAAGTGAATAAAATTTTGTGTAGTTTACTTACACTACAAGAAAAATCACTTTTAACGACAAAAAATTAGTGACGGGTAGAGAAACCCCTCACGAAATGTAATATTTGCATAGCTTTTGTGAGGGTTAAAAATTACTCTAATTAAAGGTGTATGATTTAGTGACAAACTTTTAATTTTTTACTTATTCTAAAATTTTACTCTCACTAATGATATGGAAGATATTCTTACTCTCACTATTGATGTCTAGATTTTTTTTTTTTTTTCACTAAAATCCATTTCCCACCAATTTTTTTCTTTTTCGCTCTTCTTAGACATAAGCTTTTACAGCCACAAAAATTCATCTCTCTCTTTCCACTCACCTGCGATTCACTACCAGCTCTCACCTACCATCTCTCCATCTCTCTCTTTCTCTTCAATTTCTACTTCTTATCTCTCTCTTTCTATTCACTCTCTACTTCCAGATAGAAGATTTCTCATCCAACCCAGGGATCTATTGTTTTATGCAGTAGTGCAATGTAGCTGAAAAAGGTAAATCCCTCTTGATCCATTTTAGTAATTAACAATACAAATATGAGCTTGTGCTGAAGGATTTCATTTTCTCAGAAACTGTGAGTGACTTTGGATTTTTTCTCAGCATCACCACGTATCTATAAGGTAAATTTTTTTTTTTTTTTGCAATATTTCTCCATTATCTTTGTAATTTCTTCTCATTGCTGCTATACCCATTAGTTTGCTGAAATTTTAATTATGTTAGTCAATCACTCAAGCTTTAGATAGATTTTTCTTCTTCTTCTTCTTCAAAAAAAAAAAGCTCCAGGGAGTTTTTTTTACCAACATCTTGAATGGGTGTTTACAAAACCTTCAAGATTCTGTCAAAAAAAAAAAACAAATATATATATATATATATAATCTGGGTGGATTCAAGAACTGTAAGAAAAATTTTAGGGTATATTGAAGTTGATGGCCCATCCTGCAAATTACACTGCCATAATCACTGTCAAAGAACCTTAATATGGGCATGTCCAGTAATCACAGTATTTTATCTTTCACTGCATCTATCTATCTATTTATCTCTGTACCTAAACTTATTGGGGTAGGAGTAATGTTTTATTTTTTTGGGAGGGGGGATTGTGTATGTATATGCAATAGTTTTGTGCTGTAAACATATATAGGATTATGATTTTTTAAACAAACAGTATTCTTATAGGTGGTGTAATGTTGGGCAACAATTTTTTTTTTTTTTTAAATTCCGGGAACCTGTGTTTTTGAGTTGTTAGAGGAGATAAAAATATCTTCCAAAATGAAGATCTTGATTCACATTTTTTATTCTCTGTTTCAACTTCATCGTGTTTGTTTTTGTTTTGTTTTTTTTTTTGTTTTTTTTTTCTTTTTTTTTTCATTTATAGAATAGTGTTTGTAGCTACACAAGGTTTTACAACCAACCTTTCTCCCTTCTCTTTCCACATCCCCTGCATTTTCACAATTTCTTAGGACATTTAATTTGGTAGAACTTGATGCATACAGTACACTCCAACAATGGTAAAGAAAATGCTTCGTTACCCTTCATCGGCCGTCTTTAATCATAAACAAATACCCACAATCAAGAAATCCTACTTTCAACCTTATTTTACCCATAACCCATTTTTCAGAAAAAAAAAATCCATTCTTTTTGTATTTTCTGTAGTACATCTATATAGCATCTGAAAAAGGAAGAGTTTTATTTTCTACCGATTTGATTTTTCATAACTCTTGTAGAAGTTTTCATTTATTAGTCTTTTTCTTGTATTTATGGCCTATGTCATTTTTTTCTTGTAGTCATGAACTTATCTAAGTTGAATTGGTAAATTTCATTAAAATATTAGGTGTTTCATGTTTGTTTAGTTTGTTTTTCTTAATTTCTTTTATTGTTTATGTCACCTTTGTTTTCTCTTTGAATATATTCTTGTTTTGGGTGAATTTTAAGAAGAAATTTCTAAGTTGCAATTATGTGTTCTGAATTTAAAAAGAATTTTTTAAATTACAATTATGTATTCTAAATCATTAAGTTCTTTATTTTCTTGTTTGTATCTTGTAAAATGAAAAATAATTCTTGGGAATTTGGTTGAAGAAAAGTAAATAAATTAAGAAAATTTGACTCTTGAAAATCATGTAGAGTTTGGCAGATTACATTATATTTTTTAGAATACTATGCATTATATATATAATGGATTTTATTGGTTAATAAACTGTCATTTTAAATTAAATTCAGGTTTCGATTTTTGCTGTATAGCTTTCATTATTTTGTTTATAATGGCACCTAGCAAGAAATGGATGAGTTTTTTCAATGATAGATTGAACGAACACTATAAAGATGGCGTTCAAAAGTTTTTGAATTATGCATTTCTCAAGACGGCTGAAGAGCATAAAATACGGTGTCCGTGTGTTAAGTGTAAGAATAGTGGTTATAGATCTCGTGAAGTGGTTGAAATGCATCTATATGTGTATGGAATTTCGCCAAATTATACATTTTGGTATCATCATGGTGAAAGGCGTGGTGAACCACAATCTGATAATGAAGAAGAAGAACACGAAAGTGAAAATGATGAGGAGATTCAAGAATTATTAGAAGATATATATCTTGAGTATTATAGTTTTGATAAGAGTGGATCTAATATTGGTACTTCAAATCACATTGAGCATGGAGAGGAACCAAATGAGGAAGCAAATGCATTTTACAAGATGTTAAAGGAATTTGAGCAACCAGCTTACCCAGGATGTAATACCTCTAAGTTATCGATCATTGTCAAATTGCTATATATCAAGAGCATTGGTCGATGGAGTAATGAATCATTTGACATGTTGCTACAAATGTTAAAAGACATACTTCCATCAGGATCATCTTTGCCAGAAACATATTATGATGCAAAAAATATCATTAGAGATCTTGGCCTTTCTTATGAAAAAATAGATGCATGTGTTAATAATTGTATGTTGTATTGGAAAGATGATGATGACTGTAGTTCATGCAAAATTTGTGGTGCTTCAAGATGGAAAGAAGATATTAATAGTGGAGAAATTAAAATTAAAAGTAATGGCAAAAAAGTATCATTGAAGACAATGCGATACTTTCCGTTAAAGCCAAGGCTTCAGAGATTATTCATGTCTAGGAATATAGCTTCTTTTATGAGATGGCATCATGACTCAAGAGTGGATGATGGAGTGATGAGACATCCGGCTGATTCTATGGCATGGAAATACTTTGATGAAATTCATAAAGATTTTTCTTTAGAGCCTCGTAATGTAAGACTTAGTCTTGCAAGTGATGGTTTCCAACCATTTAATCAATCCAAAACATCATACAGCATTTGGCCAGTAATACTCATTCCATACAATTTGCCTCCGTGCATGAAGGATTCCAATTTTATTCTATCAATGCTCATACCCGGTCCTGAGGGTCCTGGTGATGCAATTGACATCTATCTCAAACCTTTAATAGAAGAGTTAAAGGAGTTGTGGGAAGTAGGTGTTGACACATTTGATGCTTCAACTCGTCAGAACTTCAAATTGCATGCATCATTATTGTGGACTATTAATGATTTTCCAGCTTACGAGAATCTATCTGGTTGGAGTACTAAAGGTAAAATGGCATGTCCTTGCTGTAATAAAGAAACATGTTCTATGCGATTGGCCAATTGCAGCAAGCAATGCTATATGGGTCATCGTCGTTATCTTCCTAGCAACCACAAATGGAGGAAAGATAAAAGTTCATTTGACGGAACAAGAGAGTTGAGGCCACCACCAAAGTCACTTTCAGGAAGTGATATACTTGCTCAAGTTAGTGACCTTGAAGGAATCACATTGACTAAAGATGGTAGAAAAAAAAGTGAAAATATCACATGAGAAAAGGGGTGATAATTGGAATAAGAAAAGTCTATTTTTTGAACTTCCATATTGGAGCACCCTTTTATTGCGTCACAATTTAGATGTGATGCACATTGAGAAGAATATATGTGATAATGTTCTTGGGACAATTATGAACATAAAGGGGAAAAGCAAGGATCATGTTCAAGCACGCCTAGATTTAGAGGCCATGAAAATTAGACCAGAGTTGCATCCAATTCATAAAGGGGATAAACTTGAGTTGCCTATAGCATCATACACATTATCTAAGAATGAGAAACACTTGTTTTGCTTATTTTAAAGCAACTTAGAGTTCCAGATGGATTTTCATCAAATATTTCTCAATGTGTAAACATGAAAGAACATAAAATCTCAGGGTTAAAGAGTCATGATTGTCACGTTCTACTACAACATTTAATTCCTCTAGGAATACGTGGCCTCCTCCCTAGCTCAGTTTGTGAGCCCCTTATTGAGTTGTCCTTATTCTTTACTAGTCTATGTGCAAAGACATTGAGGGTTGATGAGCTAAGTCAAATTGAATCCCAGATTGCTTTAACATTGTGCAAGTTAGAGCAGGTATTTCTCCCTTCATTCTTTGATGTGATGGTGCACTTACCTGTGCATTTAGCTAATGAGGCCAAAATTGGTGGACCATTCCAATATAGATGGATGTACCCCATTGAGCGAATGTTATATGAGTTAAAGAAACTTATTCGCAATATGGCTCGTCCTGAAGGCTCGATAGCAGAAGGCTATATTGCAAAGGAGTGCATGACTCTATGCTCAAGATACTTGAAAAACATTAAAACAAAATTCAATAGACTTGAGAGAAATAATGATGGTGGTTTCCATACAATTGATGCTTAAAGCCTGAAATATCTGTATTTTCAAAATTTGGACGAGCATTAGGAACTGGTATTACTCGTAATCTTAGTGATGATGAGTGGCTACAAGCTCATTTTTATGTTCTAAAGAATTGTGATGAAGTTCAACCCTTTCTCAAGTAAGAAAACATCTTTTATGTCATTTGTTATCTTTACTTCATTTAAGTAACTAATTAGTGTTAAAATGCAGTGAGTTCTCTGAAAATCAAAATAACAATGTACCAGTAAATCTTGAAGTTGTTGAAAAACATTTTGGACAACAACGCCATGGTCATGTATATGGTTATGGGGGTGGAGTGAAGCGGAAAAACTTTAATGACAGTAAATCTACTTATATCAAAGAGCTAGAGGCTAAACTCTATGAAAAGGGTGAAGAAAATCGTGACCTTAAGAGGCGCATGGATATATTTGAAAGTAGGTTGATCCGAATAGAGAATGGAGATTCACCATCAGTTATAACTACAACCGGTGATGATATTCAACAGGTACATAAAGTTAATGGAGAGAAACCTTTAATTTTGCTTACTATATAGGAAATAATGTAACTAACTTATATTATTTTTTGAGTTCCTTACACAAAATGACTACAATTTTATCATTGCAGGGTGCTTAGAACTCAAGATACGAACATTGTTTCTTTTGACTTTAGTATTAAGGTAAAATAAACATTTCTATCACTTTTACCAGTATATCAATTTAATTAAGTTGTGGCTCTTGAAAAAATTATTGCTAGATGACTTGATGGATCTAGATGTGTATTATTATTATTATTATTATTATTATTATTATTATTATTATTATTATTATTATTATTATTATTATTATTATTATTATTATTATTATTATTATTATTATTATTATTATTATTATTATTATTATTATTATTATTATTATTGTTATTGTTATTGTTATTGTTGTTGTTGTTGTTGTTGTTGTTGTTGTTGTTGTTGTTGTTGTTGTTGTTGTTGTTGTTGTTATTGTTATTGTTATTGTTATTGTTATTGTTATTGTTATTGTTATTGTTATTGTTATTGTTATTGTTATTGTTATTGTTATTGTTATTGTTATTGTTATTGTTATTGTTATTGTTATTGTTATTGTTATTGTTATTGTTATTGTTATTGTTATTGTTATTGTTATTGTTATTGTTATTGTTATTATTTTATTATTATTATTATTATTATTATTATTATTATTATTATTATTATTATTATTATTATTATTATTATTATTATTATTATTATTATTATTATTATTATTATTATTATTATTATTATTATTATTATTATTGTTATGGTTTGTGTGCTCTTTGTGGGTGGCTCGAGGGTGACCATTGCTCTGGTTGTAAGCTCTGGGAACCCCTCTTGCAAAAATGTAGAGGTCTGCATGAGAGGGGTTGGTCTGGCTCCTGAGGGTGGAAGGTGGAGGGTAAAGATTGTATTGAATTCTATTCATGACTCTTAAGCATCGGTCCCACACTTTGTGTAGGGTAAGGATTGTAGTATGATTGAGTTGCATGTTGTGTGAGTTGTGTATGCTTGATTAAACAGCTTGGCAGCCGGATCTTGGTAGAGTAACTTGAGGTGTGAGTGCTTGCTGTTTGGTTTAGAGGATGGCACTTTGTTGATTTAACCAAGGAATTTTGGTAAAGGGGCAATTCTGGGGCACTATGTACAGACAACTTTTAAGAACTAATATTCTTATATTTTGCATTACAATGCAGGTTAATTCTAACACTGGTTATTATGTATAGAAACCGTGTGCTTTTGGATGATGTAAGTTCACTTCATTTGTTTAAATGAAATATGTATGTATATACATTAACTCTATATTGATGTGAAATATATGTTTCATTTAGTATGAGGATTGTAGTTAAAGTTTTATGAATGTCATTTAGCTTGAGTTGTGAGTTTTATATGAGAATATATAACTTGAATTGCGCAGATACATTTTTCTTGGCCCTTCATCTATGTTGTTGGGTTGATTGAATTGTGGGTTAAATGCTTCATTATACACATTTGATTGTGAAAGTGCATGCATGATATTTATTAACTGCAATTATTATATATGCAATTATACAGAGTATATCCTCACTGGCTATTTTTATCTATCAGGTGGCAAAGCTATTGATGAAAAAGAGCATACCTAACACCACATTGAAAGTAAACTCTTTTTGTATGAAGTACAGTAGATTGGACATTTTTTTGGGGGTTGCTTTTGTATAAACTAATCATGTCTATTTATACAGTCTCTCCTTTCAAAATAGCCAAAAGATACATTACTGTGGCTATTCATTTTAATTAGTTTCTTTGTTTATATATAGTCTTTACAAAGTTGTGCGAAATATTTCATTTTAGTGGTGATGATGAAATCTTTTAACATATTAATCGAGTTTAATTTGATTCCATTATGGTAAAAATTATATATGTTACCGATACAATATCTATAACTAGAACATAATGTAGATTAGCGATAAAAAACTGTATTACAAAAGTAAATATTTAATGAGAAGCAACAATATATATGTACCAAATTAGAAAGAAAAAAAAAACCTAGTTTTAGCTAGTGACGGTAAATTTAATATAATGAGGAAAAATTTGGTTAGTAAATAGTAATATTAATGACGGGATTCACCATCATTAAAAGAATATAATGAGGGGAAATTATGTTAGTGAGTAGTTATATTAGTGACGGGATTTTCTATCACAAAAAGAACATTTTAGTGACGGTAAATGCACTATCACTATATGCTTATTAATGATGGTATCATATCCCGTCATTATTTGGTTTTATCCTCGGAAGAAATAACGACGGGTCGTGACGGTAAATTTCCCGTCACTAAAAGTCTTTTATGATGGTTATTTAATTTTTAGTGACGGTTTCACCTCTCACTAATCAACTATTTTCTTGTAGTGTTACTGAGTGACGGAGTATATGTCTATTGATGAGCTATAGCATATATATTAGGAAAATTTGTAATTTATGTTCCTCCATAATATGTTAATTATCAATGTCACATCTGAATTATTAGTGGTGTAAATGTTACCCTTTAATTTTCAAAACGTTACATATATTGCCCCTACCATACTATATGAGAGGGGCAATATATTTACAATTTTGAAATACGAGGGGCAACATTTACACTACGGGAGGGCATTATATATACCATTTTAAAAATTAATGGACAACATTTAAACCACTAATAATTAAGGGATAACATTGATAATTAACATATTATGGAGATGTATAAATTACAATTTTCTCTATATATTATATAGTTCCATTGGTACTTGCACTGCATAATTAGCGCAAAATGCACTATCTAAGGTCCTGAGTTAAGTGTTGGACAAAATTCCAAAGGCAACACAAAGCATGAAGATGCCAACTATAATAGAGGTACATTTGATATATGAGAAAATTTCAATTTTGGTCACACGACTATAGGGGCTTTGTTAATTTCAGCACCTAACTTTCAAAAGTATCAATTTAGTACCTTGAGTATGTAATTTTTCTCAATTTTAGTCATTCCGGCCAATTTACTGATCAAATTCCACCGGAAAAATTAATAGGCACAAAACTGAGGGGCAGATAAGTCTTTTCCTGAGCACAAAACTTGTGTACAGCCGGAAAACCATTTCTCGCCGGAAAAAAATGGGCAGTTCAGAGTGCCATGTAGCGGTGCTAGCCTTCCCGTTCGCCACCCACGCGGCCCCTCTACTGAGCCTCGTGGAGCAGCTCTCCGCCGCCTTTCCAAGCGCACGGTTTTCTTTCTTCAACAATCACAACTCAAACTCCGGTCTGTTCAGAGGGCGGAACCCGAGCGCCGGGAACGTGAAGGCGTACGACGTGTGGGATGGGACTGTGGCAGGCGAGGCATTGGTCACCCACGAGGAGTTCATCATGGCGATGCCGGGTAATTACGTGAAGGCCATAGCGGAAGCGGAGGCGGAAACAGGGACCAAATTTGGGTGTTTCTTGACGGATGCGTTTCTGTGGTTCAGCGGTGACTTGGCGGCGGAAAGAGGCGGCGTTCCTTGGATCGTTCTTTGGACCGCCGGAGCTTGCTCAATTTCCGCTCACTTGTATACCGATTTTGTCCGTAGTTTAGTCGTCGCCACTCCAACCGCAAATGGTTTTCCGGCTGTACACAAGTTTTGTGCTCAGGAAAAGACTTATTTGCCCCTCAGTTTTGTGCCTATTAATTTTTCCGGTGGAATTTGATCAGTAAATTGGCCGGAATGACTAAAATTGAGAAAAATTACATACTCAAGGTACTAAATTGATACTTTTGAAAGTTAGGTGCTGAAATTAACAAAGCCCCTATAGTCGTGTGACCAAAATTGAAATTTTCTCTTTGATATATTTTTCGATCTTCTGCTACTTCAAGATTAGGTTATTCACACTTACATTAATTTTATATTATATTGTGTTTATATCTAACATCCTCAGCATTCCCAAGGTCCGAAATCATGACTTCTAGTTAATTAAATTAAAAAAAAAAAGAAGTTATATGTCATATATCTCATCCACACTCTATGAGTATATTAAATACTTTCATTAATTCATTTGCTCTTACATAATAATTTTTAAAATAACAAAATTAAATGAAAAATATAAATAAACCCAACCCTACATTTGGAAATGTGTATCAATCAAATGCAAATTAAAGTGGTCAAAATATATATTTCGATGATTATAATAAGATATTTATTAAATATTTAACATTGTATACTTACCCATTTGGGTAAAAAAAGGTAAAATACTTCTAGCTAGTGGCATATATGTTCTAAAAGTTGTCAATAACATTCAAAAAAAAAAAAAAAAGGCCAACAGTACAATTGACTACAACATATAACACTTGTAGTGACAATTGCAATCGCAAATGTCACTACAACTTTTTATATAATAAAAATCATTAATTCAATTAAATTCTCATTAAGGGACTATGTTATTTTTTATCCATGCTGTGGAAAAAATCTTCTCTCTAGAATCCCCTTAACTTTTGCCTCTATTTTTGTAAGTTGGCGCGATCCCAAATTCCCGCATATCTAGAATAAAAACAGTGGCGGAGTCATAGTGGGGTAACTACCCCCACTCACCTACCCCATATATATAGTATATACTAGTAAGTGTCCCGTGCGATGCAAAGACTATTATTAATTTAACAAATGAGAAAATTACACTTTTGATCCTATGAGTATATGGAGCGTGTTAATTTAGCTCCATGACTTTTAAAAGTAACAATTTAGTCCTTTAACTATGCTTTTTTTAAGCAGATTTGGTCCTTCCGGCCAAATCACCAGTGAAAATTGACCGGAAAAACTTAAACCTTTTTAAATTTTTTATTCATGATGGCAAAATAGTCTTTTTACGTAAGCTGCTTCTTCTTCTTCTTCGCGTTCATGAGCTACGGCTAACAGTTGCATCTGCTTCTAAGAAAGAACAACTCCAAGAATCGAAGCCCCAGGTTCAGAAGTAAGGTATGATTTTTATCCTCAGCTTTTTCTTCATGTCTACTGCACCTTTCTTGATTCATCTTCCCAGATCGCACGGTATAAAGCTCTATAAGAGATCTAAACTCCCAGAAATATTCTTCTCCATATTCTAGCCATAGCCATCCTCCCAATTCCAGCCACGACCAAAACATAATTGTAGTATTGCTTGTGGTCATGTGGATGATGGTTTATTTATAGTGTTGAAGTAGGTGTAGATGTTCTTGTAAATATTGATTCTGAATTTTAAATTTATCTCCAATCAATTAGTGTTAGAAACATAACATAATTATTGCAATGTTAATTCTCAATTATGGATGAACAATTATTACTCAAATCAATTTTGTAAATTACTCTCCTATCCACTAAAATCTTTTTGCTTATTATTCACTTTGGTTTTCTTTTCATCTTTATTTAATTATTATTTATGATGATTATGATTAGGGAAAATTTTTCCCTAATCATTTTGCTTTAATATATATATATATATATATATATATATATATATATATATATATATATATATATATATATATATATATATATATATATATATGTTGGAAAAAATAGCTTGAAATGACATAAAATGGCATTTTAAGTGGCTATTTTGTGGTACAATTATCAGGCGGGTCCACTTTCGATTTGGGTCGGGTCAAAGTGGATTCGGGTTCTTCGTAGTGAGACGAAGAGATTGATATATTGTACGCTCAAAATGGATAATGGGTGAATGAGATATTGATTCTCAAAGTAGACCCATTTGAGTTGGAAAATGAAGGGAAAAAGTGAACTTTTGTCCCACATTGGTTTGGGAAGAGGATTTGCCCCACTATTTATACATGAGCTCTTGTTAAGCTTATTGAATTGTATAGCATAGAGGCTCTCTCTTGTGTGCAAGGGAGTGCAAATTAAATCCCAAAACTTTGATATTCATTTTCTGACAAAGCCACGAAAGTTCGTGTTATTAGTGTGAGTTTCAGCCTAGTGGCCGAAACTATTGAAACTGCCAAGTTTCAAAGTTTCGGCCACGCTGGGAAAGTTTGCAAATGGATTGCAAATTGCAATTGCAATTCAAATTTCGGCCAGCTTGGCCGAAAGTTTGAAATTGCAATTCAAATTTCGGCCAGCTTGGCCGAAAGTTTGCAATTGCAAGATTCAGCCAAGTTGGCCGAAACTTTGCAAAGATGGCTGAAGTTGTACACAGTATACACGAACCAGAAAGGTCCTTTTTGTGACTGTTGGGATTTAATTCCAGCTGTTATGGGATTAATGACAATTTTAATTGTGAATTAACACCCATGTTTATGGTGGATGTTACAAGAAGTTGTAGGGATGCCCCTAAATGCCATAATAAAGGCTATTCACTCCTCAATCCCTATATAAGGAGGGGGTAGAGTGCAGCAGATTTTACAAGCATATAGTGACAAGAACACACAACACAAGAAGTGTTTTCTCTCCTCAAAAACTCTGCTTCTACTCCTTTCTTAAGCCGAACTGTGTTCAAGGCTTTGCTCTAGTTCGCCGGGTTCGTTCGTTTGGGTGCTCAAACGTCGAACCGTAGCGCGTTTTATCCTGGGAAACCTAGGCCACGGCGATCCAAGCACTTTTGGGAGGTGGCAAATAAGGTTTTAAGGAAAGAGTGGTCTCTTGACTCACACTAAAAACCCTTATCCAAACACGAGCCAATCTTTCCTTCTTTCGTTTTTGGATTATGCTT